TCGTGCATTCTAGAATCAACCTCTCTCCCACTCGTTCTGGTAAAGGGCCTTTCGAGGGGCCAGTACTCTTTGCATGGTCTCCCTAATATCACTGTTCTGCATACCTGTATATTAGTGAGAGTGCAATTTTACGTACACTGAGCTAGCTTACTCTTCTGCCCTCACAACGGGGGCAGTATTTTCCTGCGAAATGTTGATGAACGTCTATAGGACCAAACAGCGTCACATTCCAGAAGATAATACTCCTTATACAAATTGATATTCTAATCTTTCAAAAGACAGGATACATATCTTGATAAAAAAAAAACAGGTTTTCGATTTTCGGGAACGTTCAGAACACAGTGTTGAAGGTTTTTTAACGTTCCTGCTACTACGGTATTATCAAGGAAACCACTGAAATGGTAAATTCGTCCTAACAGCATAACTTCGATCTCGAAGACGGATAGAGTCTGAGGAAAATCTGGTTCTATTTCTTCCCCTCCTAGCCCACCACTGAATTACCTTCATCCAGCAAACACTAAACTCCCTTTTCTCTATAAGTGGGAGGAAGAAGAAGAAGAAGAAGAAGAAGGAAAATGAAAAATAGGAAAAATCCTTTATTACTTCTTCTAAACATGGGGTTGCCGAAGCATTTTTCATCACCTGTTCACTTCTTTTCATTAACCACATGGTCACTAGACAATTTTTCATCGCCTATTTTTTAAATGCGCCTGAACTCCAAAACAGTTTCTATCATGTACGAGTATTATTCACGTGGTCATTTCTTATTGGATAGCAACCCGCTCCCCTATTTAACCAGTTGCCTAATGCAAGCTGCATACAAGGGCTGCCAGCAAGCCCGTGCTGGTGAAGGCCAATAACAAATAGCTGTTGTACTCAAAGGTAACTAGAATGTTTTTCGAAACGTTGGGAAAACCTTCAACATTCTAATTGGTACATTTTCGAATGCCGAAATCATATACCGGCATCTGTTGTGAGCAGTAGAGACTAGAATTAAGATTTCCTTATTCTCTTTACATTAACAACTAGATTCTGCAGTAAGAAATACTTTACACGTCCTCGCTATAGAAAGCAAAACTGGGGATATAGAGACACGTTGTATATATTTCAGGTGTATGTTCGTCTTATATGACTTTGTGTCTGGCGATAAGTCAAAGCAGTATAAAGCAGTCCCTGTGGAAGTTCTGGCAGGAATCAAAGCGTAGACTCGGAACGCAGAGGTGAAAGCAATGTGTACAAACGAAACTGTGTTTATGCTTGTAGCGTGAAGCGTGAAATTAAGGGGAAGGGATGGCCCAAACAAATCCACAATGCAATATATGAATATACAGCGCCACTCAGCAACCCCAGAAATCTATTTAATACCTGGCTGACTGTGGTAACTGCAGTCTTTGCTTTCAGGTCCTCTTCCATCATGTACAGAGTCTACAAAAAGTCAAGAGCAGGTTAGAAATGTAGAATATGAGGTTCTTAAAGTGGTGGATATAACGCAATGTCAACCGACGTTTCGGAGGAACATATCGCAATATTTTCATCATGTTCTGCCTGGCTCTACTTGCCACCTGCTTTCACGCTTGTTTCTTGGACGGCTTATTCTTCGACCCTGAAGATGGAAGCAATATGTTACTCCGAAATGTCGGTTGACTTTCAACGAACTACACGGCGTTATATCCCAGGCGATAGTACTCTTCAGATTAAGAATGTTTCCCTAACAAGCGTGACAACACAGGAGCCGGGATAGCGCAGTCGGTACAGCGACTGGTTACGGGCTGGACGACGGAGAGGTCGGAGTTCAAGTACCGGTAGGGTCAAGAATTTTCTCTTCTCCATGTTGTCCAGACTGGCCCTGGGGTCCACCCATCTTCCTATGAAATGGGTACTGCGGGTCTTTCCGGGGGTGTAAAGCGACAGGGGCGTGAAGCCTATCACTCATCTCAGATTAGTTCCGAGGTCAAGAAAATATGACTCTACACATCCACTCTCCCATACGCCTTCATGGGGTAGTGTTTAATTAGTTAAGCAGAGGGAATATTTTGCTTTTTTCTGTTCCCCGACAAACAGGCCGTCTCTTTGACTTGGCCCCACTGGGTTACGCCGGATAAATATGGCAAGAAGTAGCGAGGAAGTGGTTGCAGCTGCATTTAATGTAGAAGGAAGGGCGACCTTTCTGTTTGACTAACACATACATATGTTACAATTCTTATCTCGGCTAATGACTCGATCAAACCTGCATCCCATTCGGTTCAGAACATGGATAGTGGGCCCACATAAAACTGTTTTTCCTTAAATGTGCGTTTCTTCCTGAAATATAAGGTAAACGATTTTACTTATTTAATTATTAAATTCGTTACACTTGATGGATTTCTATTCTTTTATGAGATCCTAACGGTCAATTAGTACTTTATAAAGAAGAAACACATATTGCAGTTACTGCCGTTTAATTTTTTGTCATTGTCAGTGTTGTCTGTTCGCTACAACACACAGATATGCTCTGGGCTTCACCCTCTTAAAATATTGTAACGCGGTTGGCCATAGAGCAACTAAACAACGACTTGGTAAACAAATCTCAGAGATAGAGATATTGTTTTCTATGTGGTATTCGCTGAGTAAGCACGGATATATAGGACATATTTTGCCAGGCAACACGGTCTAGAACACCGAGATTAACGGCCGTGGGGATCCGTTGCGCTGACAACGCGATACCCTCTACCCGCAAAAGTTGGCACTAACTTCGCCGACAAGCGGCGGTCGCTCGGTCGGTATTGTTCGCTTGCGGACTATAGGCCACGGAGTTTCTTTTGTTGCTAGGCAACGCAGTGGTAAACATACATCCAGAAAAATTGGAGACGGTGTTTTCCGTGGTGTTCGTGCAAAGGAGTTATCTTAAAAACGAACAGCACCACTGTTCGGTTCTGACTTCTGATTTCTCGGTAGAAATTCAGCCATGGAAAGTTCGTCGACCTGTGAAAATTTAAAGTATGATTAGAACACTTCCTTCATGTGTAATATTTCGAGTGTGTGATTCAGTGAGACTGTTATAATTCCTGTGTTTTAGTTGTGGAACCAGGAGAGGATCAGTGTGTGTGTAAATCAACGATAGTGCTCTGTTTAAGTGTGATTAAGAGAGATTTTAACCAAGGTGCTAATAAATCCAATCAACGGGACTATAACCCACCATTTTCGTCGCGCGTTCCACATTCCACGTGACAATATTCAAGGGAGGTTATTTCCTCGCGATACAGCGGGCGGGACGTGAAGCTGGCCACACACCTTCTATTGCCGAGGTTATGAAAGCGTGGACTTATGCCTCCGTTCCCCACTTCCTCAATATATCCTTTATTAGACATAAATAACTTCACTTACCTCTACAGAATATCTTGACTGAAAATGTTCAAATAAGTGATTTTCGAAAGGGAATATGGCGCGTCCCCTTAAAATGTTGGTAGGTTATGATTTCCATAATTTTTTCTTAATTCGCATAGTGGGGGGGGGTGGAGTCCAGTTGAGTCCACTCGGCACGGCGGCCACTGATTGGCCTATTGTAGCCTGCCCCGGGTGATTATGATGATGGAGGATTTGGTGGAATTAAGATTGACAGGGGAAACCAAAATACTCAGAGAAAACCCGCCCCAGCGCCACTTTGTCCACCACAAATCACAGTTGAGCAGACCTGGGATCGAACCCGAGCCGCCGCGGTAGGAAGCCAGCGACTAACCTCTTGAGCTATAGCACGGCCTAAGATTGTCATAAATATATGGCTTTGATGCTTACAAACGCTTTGGGAAAGCATGCTATATCAAATCCAGCGCGTCATTAAAAAGAAAGTAAAATTATTCTTGTAACAGACCATGAAGGCCCATAGGGTTGTGAGACGTTGAAGCTCCAAATTTTTTCAAGAAAATCGGCTCACAGATGGCAGTGAAGTTGTCAGCCTTACGCGCTGGACACCATTTTCGTCCATAAAATTAAAGCATCCTCTATTTCTTGAATATCTGAGATGGGCTTTTTGAAAAATTCACGACTTTCAAAAGCTGCTGTAAGACGTTCCTACACAGTCATACAGACCGGACTCATGAGAGTAAAATGGGTTCATAAATGTAAACAAAAATAATTTTGCTCTCCTGTTCTCTTATGCCACGAATACCTGTGGGAGTGAAGGATATTCTACACATGTTCCTAATCTCGTCACTAGATGGAGATGACTGTTTAATTTCACGCTCCGGCCACTTCAAACTCGACGAGACAAAGTCCGGTACCTATTGGATATGAGCCCGGGTTGGCCCCATAACTGGTCTGAACGCTGCAGAAGAAAACAGTCTCTTGCGCCTGCCATGAACCTAACCCCATTACTTTTGTCACGACACCCGGAGCTAAGTATCTGTGCCGATGTTATCCATCCCGGCTTCAGGGACGGTCTCATAACTATTTGCAATGTGAGGGCTCAGCATGCGGCCGTACTGGCCGAATCGTATGCAATACCAGTCGTTGCAAGGCGAACTCTCAGTTTTCAAACGACTCCAGTCGGGCTAATACAGTGTGAAGAGACGTGCAGAAATTCTGAGAAAAATAAAAGGGCCTGCCTTTAGAATAACTTACTGAGTGACATCTGATACGACTTGCTAGCAACATTAGTGACTATCGTCTCGACTTGTCAGAACTCCATTCGCTTTGTGTGCCTACAGCCTCAGTGAGTCACATTCGATTCGACTTGTCTGGACTAGATTCGATTAGTATGACTACAGCCTTAGTGCGTCACATTGAATTCTATTGGTCTGGACTAGATTCGATTAGTGTGCCAGCACCCTTTGTCGAAATGAAGGTTACTTCCTTGTAAACGTCTTATTCTACTTTTCTTTGAAATGGATATTTGTTTTATCGAAGTCTGCAATCGACTAAGTTCCGTACTGCTACAGCACGATGCATACCTTGTGTTTGATAAATACTTGTATAAATATCTCAGTCAACATTATTCTCATTCAATTAATTATTTCTTGTTGCAGGTCCTCGTTCAAGACGTCTCAAAAGAAAAGATAAAAAGCCGGAAGAGAAGAGACCTCGGACAGCGTTCAGCGGCGAACAGTTGGCACGCCTGAAACACGAGTTCGCCGAGAATCGTTACCTGACGGAGCGACGCCGAACGGAACTGGCACGAGAACTGGGACTGAACGAGGCGCAGATCAAGATCTGGTTCCAGAACAAACGCGCCAAGATCAAGAAGGCGAGCGGTCAGAAGAACCCCTTGGCTCTGCAGCTTATGGCGCAGGGTTTGTACAACCACAGCACCATTTCTATGACGAGAGAAGAGGAGGAGCAGGCTGCTGCAGCTGAGGCTAACGCCTGCAAATAGTCTGATTCTGACCAGCACCGCTTCTCGGCCCATTATCAAATTGTGCAACAACTCAGACTGTACTGATTCGTCTTGCCTTCCATGTGATGTTTGGTGTGGAGACGCTACAGGTTATTAACAAGCACGGAATTCTAGATCTGCCAGGAAATTACCTATAGCTCTTCTGAAAAGAAAAATGAATGATGAATATAAATTTTAATAGCAAACTATGAAAAACTTTCTAATATGTGACAAAAATTCGAGAAGCAATATATTGTAAAAACGATGTAAAGTCTTGAAGTCTCCACGAAATATAAAAGTATGCTAGAATCTTCTAGGGTATCATCCACTTCATGGTCCAACTAAAAGCAAAATTTTTTGGAGAACTGTTCTGTCAAGAATATCACGGTTAAAACAACTTTCGCCGAAGAGAGAGAGAGAAACTCCCCAAACTTTGGTTCGTAGTTCAGAATTGGTTGATCCCCGGAGAAGTGACAGCGCATTAAAAAATTGAGTTACGTATCAATTTTAGAAAGATAAGTCCTCGGATGTCTGTACTATCGTTCTAGAAATTTATAAGATATCGTATTTAAATTCACTAAAACCAATACTCTTTCTCAAAAACAATACTGTCTCAAGAAGACAGAAAAAATACAGATTCAGCACATTATCTGGGAGTTGGCTTAGCATAATTCTTACAGCAACTCGATGATGGTTGGGCTGACTGCAGGGGAAAGATATGTTTCCTTCCTCGCAGCATCTAGACCGGTTCCGAGATCCACCCAGACAATTATTTAGTGGGTACCGAATTTATTTCCCGGGGTACAAGCGGACAAAACATGAAACTGAACACGCACATACATTCAATACCGAAAGGCTGTACCTCCGCTCCCACATACGCCTTCAGTAACTGGTGTGTAAGTAGGAACCAGGAAAGCTTCACAAACAGGTCGTCTATTGGTTAGAAGATTGTCTTAAAAAGCATTTTTATTCTGGAACAATATTTATTTTAAATATGAACACAATTGGCCACCAAGTACGCTGGGACTATATTCGACGGGTTTCTGAACCAAACTATCTTACTTGGTTTTTCATGGTTTGTTTCAACACTCTAGAAAAATCTAGGGGCACGAAACCTGCTTTTCCGAGTGCAGGCTTCAGTTACTGCCCGTCCGTAGTTCTTTATATAGGCAGGGACTGTCATGAAGGTACAATGTCTTGTCATGTTCGTAGACTGTTGTGTTACCGTGCCACTTCTTTATAAACGTCCCTTCTATGACATGTTTCGCCCTTATGAGGTCATCATCAAATAATTTTACGTTATTGCTACATCGCATCTGGTGCAGCACACCAAAAGTCTACGAGCAGGAAAAGAAGTTACACTTTCAAGACTGCCCTTGCAAATTAAACTGTTAAGCAGTGCAACGGAATGCTGAAATATAATGTTATTCGTGTAGACGTAAATACTGCAACTACTTAATTCTCGGGTTTGTCTCTGAAAAATATGAAACCGTTTCATGTAGGGAAGTGGTATCGCGGACACCAATATACTTACAGGCAAAAGTACGAAGAAACAGAAGGAGCGATTCTCAAGTTGTGAAAGGGGTTTATCTACAGACATGTCCAGTAGTCAGTAAGGACAAGCTTGTGATTAGTAGCAATCACATAACCAACCCCATGGGGCAGAATAATTCTTAAAACACTAATTGTTGCTCAGTTAATCCAGAAATTATCCGCATTTTATTGAACCCTAAGGTTCGTCGCAGTGTTCCCAATAACGTGCCACTTGTCTATATTAAGTCATAACAATTGAGTCCACACCCTCCCTTTCGTATTTCTTGAAGTTCCATTTTAATATTATACATCTAAGCCTAGTTCTTCCAAGTGGTCTCTTCTTCAAGTATTCTACCGAAATTCTTTACAAATTTTACTGCTATATCTCTACATTCCAAGTCAATCTCATTGTTTTCAATTCGATTATTGGTAACAATTACATCCTCAGAGGAATCATAAAATCTTTAAATGTCTGGTAAAAAGTTTAGATTCTTCAGTGGTATTTGTTTGGTAAGAATTTAGAGGGTAATGTTCAGGGGAGTGAACGTTTCTGATCACGAAGTCTGTTTATGAAAGTATTATAGTAATATAAATTGTGAACTATATATTACTAATATAAGTTATGCGATACAGGATGTAGAACGAGGAAATAAGTTTACAGTTCTCATCCAAAACCGAGGGACAAAAATACATTTTCCACTTAATGAGAAACATATATGTTTAACAGATAACAACACTGGAAAATTTGAAGCAAAAATTAGGAATAAATTAGTCAATTATTTAGTGAAAACATGATCCCAAGGCCATCCACGTAAGTTACGATAAATGGTTGTTATGTTTAGAAGGAAATGCGAACAAGAGAACTAATTTTTCCATAATTAATTACTCTGTTTGAAAATGAACATGTGTGTTGTACAAAACGAAACATGAACAGAGTTATCGGTAATGGGCGCTAGACCTTAAAATTTACCAAAGCAATCACAGTTCTGTTTATTTACATGCACTTAACAACATAAGTTCTCTGTCACAACTGGAGCCTACAGTGATACTTGTGATTTCAAAACATGTGGCTGTTCAAACCAAGTAGCTGCAAGCTAATATTTGTAGTAACGCACTATATAATGTATGTAAAAATAATTATGCTGCTTGAAGACAAAGAGCATATTGTCAATTTGATTTAACTTTGTCTTTATTATTCATAACTTATTTGTAATTTTAAACAAGGAATCTGTATGATAATTTAATTTATAATTACTAGCGAGAGTGTAGTGATTGTATGTTAGGTAATTAGAAAATAGCCGAAAGATGTGTATGTTGTTTAGTAATGTGACTGCTTCGTATGTAGTGTAAAAGTGTACAGTAAGCACAAATAAATGTATAGTAAAATGCAGTACGAACAAATAAAAAAATTGTTCAAGATGCGTACAGGAATCTTACTACTTTTGGCTTTTATTTACTCCCTGTACTACATAGAAGCTAATCCTATTGGTGTGTCCCAGCATTAGAATCTAGAATGGAAGCCTGACTGGCAGTCTGGCGACCACCTCACATTTACAGATTCTTACAAATGACTAACTTCTCGTGACACGTCTTTATTTATTTTAGCTCCTCTGCACGGACCCCATGGAAGACACCGTCTTCTTTTGTTAAGGATGTGTGTTTGCAACTTTGTTGCCTAACAATGGGAAATGGATCTTGAGCACAAGAGTCCTCAATGTATGTTCTGTCTACACTGTGTGGACAGAGAGAGAAAGAAAGAAAGAAAGAGCAAGAAAGAAAGAAAGAAAGAAAGAAAGAAAGAAAGAGCATCGATTGTAGGTCCCCAGGCTTTGCCCGCTCGTCCTTCTGGTAAGAGTAAAGTGAAAGTGTAGGCGTTAAGATGATTAGAAGCAACGACTTGAGAGAGTTGATAGAGAGGGGCCGCGGAGCTTTTAATCTGCATGCTTCTCATGCAGCCCTCCCGATTTAAATTCATCAAAATTACGGTCCCTTGCTGTGAAAATTACCAAAATTGTACACGTATACAAATGACTAACTTCTAAACTTGTCTCGGGTTTAACATATCGGCACGGACCGCGTAGAGAACACCGTTTTCAACAGTCCCTCTATAATTGCTGTGGGAATGTGTTTGTCTTGCGACCAAAACCTAGTAACGGCTCTACGCGCTACAATATATTGTGTATTAGCAACAGCTGAATATGGTCCTCTGCAATATCGGCAGTTACCGCACTTCGGATAACCCCGTTACCTCCTGGCCTAACGACACCAGGTTTCGTAGAAAAGTCGGTGACTATCCACAGTACAAAACAATGTCACAACCCAGAAGAACACAACTTAATTTTTTATTGCTGTAAAAAACCTCAAATTTCATGCACGTTTAAGAATTTAGCAAATACGGAAGACAGACCTTACCGTAACCACAAAAATTTCTTATTTCAGAAAATCTCACCTGCACATTTAACTGTCTCTAGAATATTTTTAGGACGTGTTATCATAAATTAGCGACTTATGTTGTTGTGCATCGTTAGAAAGTTTCTAGATCCTATTTCTAACATAAGTTTAGAATGATAATCGCCATACCGAATATCTCCTTAAGCCCACAAAACTTTTCTTCCGTAAAGTTGCCTCATTAAAGTATAAACCAAGTTTCAAATCAAGAATAAATCTTACATAGTAAGGCCACGTGGCTAACCTAAAGGAAACAAACGGCCTCTTTATGTTATGGCCATATCATTTGTATTGATATAATGATATTAAATTGCTTCAGGAAATCCACGTCACTAATTTCATCTTTTGGAATTGCATGATTCTTCTGCGGAAATCGGTTGTCTTGGCAACCAAATATTCCACAAGTTGTGTTAGGGTCAGACCGCACACATATGCCGAGAGCAACGTGGGAGGTTGGCAGAATCTTGAACCCCAATTATGGGGGCGGAGTAAAACCTCATTAACTATAAGTGACTTGGATACACACAAGTATCTCGCAACACACATTTCTGTCTCGGCTAACAAGACAAGCCTGACATCTGGCGTGTGCTGGGTGACATCCAGACTTAGTGCCTGCCATATGCCAAAAGCAAAGAACATGCTCTTGAATCATGGAAACAATTAACACTTTAACGTCACAATACACAGATGTTTGATTCATTTCAGTGCGTGGAACAAACCCACAGGCACTGGAGCAACGCTAATGAGAAATTTCCAATTATAGATCGTCATAGCAGAAAAAGCGCCTTATTTACGGAATGCCTTTAATGCAAAGCTTTGCCATGTTTCCACATGCAGCTCACATAAATTCTTGCCAACGGTTAGATCCATCGTCAGACATGTGATGTAGTGTAGTCTAGTAGAAATTTAAGGACGTTTCGGAGGTTCATACTGCTTGGATCTTTAGCTTCACAGAGTATGATCAATAAACAAACAAGCAGAGCTGCTGATTATTTCCTGCTGGATATCATCTACAGTCCTGAAGATTGATGAATATCCTCGGTAACTTCGGTAAACTTCTAGGAGACTGCAAGATATTACAACCCAGGAGATAATATTCCTCATAGTCAAGCCCTGGAAATATTGAATCTCACAAACCGACGTAAGTTCACAAACTAATTCCATGAATCAGAGTTCTTATGAAGATTACGGTCGCTAAGCTGGTCAAACAATATCCTACCTTTCACACAAACGGAAAGCTCAGTGCCATGTGCAACAGAGCGCTAATCATCCACCTGTCCTTATCATAAGTCAGATGAATCTAGTCCACACATTTTTGAAGATCCTGTTACTAATTAACTAACTGACTAGTTAGCTAGCTACCAGATTAACAAAGCAACTCAATATAGCTGAGCCCTAGTTGAGAAGCCAACAGTCGCTCTGCCAATCAATAAACTGCAAGCATTTTATTGACTCCAAATTTTTTACAATTGTTGGAAAGATCTCGCCACTGACCTCTATCCTGAGCTATATAAATCCAGTCCATTTTAGTATTATCCTCCAATCTACGCCTAGGTCTTCCTAGTGGGCTATTTCCTTCAGGTTTTTCTACCAGAACCCTCTACACAACTTTTTGAGCTTCCATTCCCATCTCATCCTCCTGGTTTGCTAATTCTAAATAAGATTTAAAATTTTTCGACAATATATTGACACATTATTTGACTTCCTGAATGTCATCTATCGTTCTGGAAAATGCTTTATGTTCAACAGGTCAGAAAAAGTATTGCTCATTCTAATTATATCTGGCAAGGCGTGCAAATTCTGAAGCTCGTCACCACGCAGTTTTATCTAGCCTCCTGTCACTTCATTTCTCTTCGGTCCAAATATTCTCCTCAGCACCCTGTTCTCGAACATTCTCAGTCTCTGTTTTTCGCTTAATGTGAGAGATGTTTGACACCCATGAAGAACCACAGGCAACATTACAGAAGGAGGACTTTTACTTTGTTGACCGGTTTCACGACTCTGCGCCTCACGGCGTTCGATGCACCGCTTACTGTAAGGAGCATACATATTTTGCCTTTGAATCAGCAAGTCTGACTGTCAATAAACTTCGGAATGAAGTTATTAACTTTGTTCACAGACCACAGGAGTGGTTGAAACTTCTGTACCTCTACACGTGAACATTCCTCGCACTGACGAAGATATTCTGATTTACCCTTCGAAACTGCTGTACAGGAATATTTGTAACCTTACGAATATATATATTTTTAATTTTCTTCCATTCGGTGCTTTCTGCTGTAAATTTTGTCATTGAAACAAAAAAAAACTCTGTGGTTTTAGCCCTCAAGCGAACTATACCGACCGAGTGACGGCCGCTTGTCGGCGAAGTTAGTGCCAACTTTAGAGAATAAAGTTTTCGCATGGTCAGTGCAACGAATCCCCACGGCCGTTAATTTCGATGTTCTAGACCGGAGCCGCTGTTCCCTTGAAATAACTCCTCAATTATCCTCACGAGGCTGAGTGGACCCCGTTGCCGTCCCACTACTTCTCAGAAAATGTTGTAGCGCCGGGAATCCTCTGGATCTATAGCCAGGACCTCTGACCATTAGACCACAGAGCAGAAGAAAAATCAGAAGGATTAAGATCGGGCGAACGTGCTGGCCAAGTACAACTGCTAATAATTTTGTCCCAGAAGACATAGTACAAAGCAAGAATAGATATATGTGCAGTGTGGGCAGTAGCTGAGTCTTGTTGAAACAAGCCATATTTTTTCTTCTTCTACTAGCTGTGGAAAGAATTGCTTAAGAATGACAAGTATGTAACTTTCGCAATTAAATGTTTCTTTAAAAAACTCATGTCCTACAATCATTACACTTAGAGCACATCAGTCTCCAACTTTCAATGGATGCAGCGGGACTTCGTGGGTTTGATGTGGATTCTGTGAACTCCAGTAGGGATTATTTTGCGTATTTATGTTTCCCTGCTAGTAAATCCACGCTTCAGAAAAGAAGGTCACTTATGGATCGATCTCACCTTTACGACAGACTGTAGAAACCAACTGCAAAACTGAATCCTGATAGCTGGATCGCGCAGCTGCAAGGCGTAGATGACTGTTGTTTTATAGGCTCTAAGTTTCAGCAATTGTGTTGACCTTCTTGCATTAGACTTTGACACACCAGTCTCTTGAGCTGGACGTTTCAGTGATTTTCTAGATGTATGTTAAAGTCTGGGCCTTACGTCATCCGGCGTCCCCTCAGTAAGCATTCGGCACTTATGTTCCTGTTTCTTGTCTATGAGTCGAGTTGTTCTAAACTTATTCACCAAATTGTGAATTGTTTGCCTGCTGGGAACTCTTTCATTAAGAAATTTAGGTCGAAAATTTTGCTTGTGCTTTCTAGCAGAACCTTACTTCACATAGGATTGTCATACAGAAATGCATGTTGCTCTGAAGTACCGTATTTACGCATGTATAGGCCGCGTGCGTGTATAGGCCGCAGCACAATTTTCAGAGAGAAATTATAGAAAAAATAATTTTCTTGGAATATTATTTCAGGAGTATTACACCCTGTATTACTAATTATGAATATAATTTTTTTTTAAATGAAGTGTGATTTCGAATATTTCGAATATAAGCCGCACCCCAGTTTTCCTCTTGAATTTTTGGCAAAAATTGTGCGGCCTGTACGTGCGTAAATACGGTATATCTCATCGTGACGTACCACACTGCTCACTAACTGT